GGCGCCCCGGCGGGGGCCCCCCCCCCCCCCCCCGTAGGATGCTCCATCTGCCCCACCATCTCAACATTCACAAGCCATGCCTGGTACGTCAAGTTATGTAGAAAAAACATATAAAGCTGTGTCTATAGCTGAATCACTGATTCTCTGAATCAGAATCGAATCTTCATTTTTAGATTCAGCCGAATCAAACTGGGACAGTGATCCGAATCAGAGAATTGAAACACCATCCCCTGAATTGAGCCAAATCCAAATCCAATTCGAATACAGTCTGCTTTGCACACCCCTAGTCTCCTGAGCTTTCTGAGGGTAAGAAGAGAAGTACCCAATAATTTCTTACATTACTGTCATGAAGTTGCTGGGAGGTAAAGTACAGCCCATGGAGAAAATCCACTACCATTTAGCATCCTGGTGAGAGGTTTCTATTCCCTTTCATTCACCCTAAGTCCTGCTCTCACATTTTTTTATTCCCTGCTCAGTCCATTTGTATGATGCGCTAATGTTCTAGTGAGAGATATTCAGCATCAAGGGAAGTGGGAGATGAGTGTGCACGTGTGTTTCCCCAGGAACAAATAGCAGTGGCATATAGTTGTGTCTGGGTGGCCCCAGCAGCCTTACCTGGGGTTCTGGGGGCCTCCTGGGGCTCCAGCAGTGGCAATCCAATGTGCAGAACCTAGCTGGCAGCTGGAATATGGCTCTAGACAGCCAGACTCTGTTTTTGGGTGGCACATGCTGCCACCACATGTACCACCCTGCTCTTTTCAGTATCTCCCAATGTCAAAAAACCCACTCCACTGCAAATTAGCAGCACAGCTTGTGCCTGCATGTGCAGTGCAATTGGTTTGCAACAGGTGCACACTTATCTGGATGTGCCCTATGTGTCTTAGAACTGTGCACTAATTGTGCAGTATGAACATGAGTTTGATATCACACTTAGCCAATTGCAAGTCTGATTAAATCACACACTTTAAAGAAGCAGCTCACTGGGAATGTTTCTGTTTTCAGCATGGATGATTACATGTAAACATGCACAGTGATGTATACTTAAGAAATTTTAAGAATTATTTTCTGGGCAAAAGTGGGTTTTTGTTTCTGTTTTGTTGTCTTCAGTTTTTGCTTGTTTTATTTAAGTGTGAAAGTTGATTTAACTAATTTATAATGAAACATATACCAACAATTAAAAAAACTCTCAGTCTAGAAGTATAAAACTATCACTAAACTAATCCATCTTCTAAAATTAGATTTAAAATTTTGAGATCATAATAATTAACAGACTGAAGTAGTTCCCCCCCACTTGATTAACAGAAAGTATTGATTTAAATACAAGTAGACTAAATCTTTTAAAAAGTTCCATAACCATCACTACGAGTGGCCACAGCAAAGGCAGGGTATGCTTCATATGTTGCATAAGTTGCTAGATCTTGTCCCAGTGTCACTGCTTGTTTCAGCTGTGTAGCTGCTACAGTTGCAGCTGCATTGGTGATGGTGAATCCTGTAGTGGAAAACAGACATAAATAAAACATATCTTTTAAGTATACCCACAGAGAATGATACAGCTGTGATAACCATCCATTTGTGTATGAAATAAACGTATGGAGATTTCACTGTTAATGTAATAGCCTATTTGTGTTAAATTGAACATATTTACATCTGACAACATCAGTGGGCATGTCTACATGTGCCCCTGACTGCACAGTTGGTACTGTGCAGTCATTTAGTACTCCCCTTAGCAAATACTAAATGATTGTGCAGTACCCTCCATTATTGCAGAGTCCCAGTGGTGCACAGGTTGCTTTTGATTCTACTGCACAGTAGCTCATTGCTATTGTGCGGTAGCGGCGACATCACACTTAGTGCCCACCAATGCTGCATCACCTTAGTGTCTTGTGTAGATGCGCCCAGTGTTAAGCAGCTGTTACCCTTCGTGATAAACTTCCTCTTCATTATGATCATACCTGTAGTAACAATATGTGATTAGCAAAGTTACTTACCTGTTATTTGTTAAACCCATAATTTTCCAAAATGTCCCTATTTTTATAGCATTATGTGTTCCCAGTATTTAGCTGTCTCTGAACTAATAATGGAAGTTACCATAGGCCCATAAGATCCACTTCACATATGGGGAGGGCAGGACAAGAAGGATATGTAATAAAAGTTATTGACCATGTATCATGAAGGAGATGTCTGCATAAATGATGAAAATTATGTGCCACCAGTCACTACCGCACTTCCTACCACAAATGTGTCCAGAAGGAATATTACATATTAAGGAGGAGAGATGTTTATCATTTGTAATGCGGGTGGAAGAACATGTTATGGACTACTTAGAAAAGCTGCATATGTACAAGTTCATGGGGCTGGATGGGATGCACCCAAGGATGCTAAGGGAGTTGGCTGATGTGAATGCACATCCATTGGCCATCATCTTTGAAAACTCATGGCAATAAGGAGAGGTCCTGGATGATTGGAAAAGGGCAAACATAGTGCCCATATTAAAGAAAAGGAAGAAGGTGGATCCAGGTAACTACAGAATGGTCAGCCTCACTTCAGTCTCTGGAAAACTCATGGAGCAGTTCCTCAAGAAATTCATTTCTAAGTATTTGGAGGAGAAAAAGGTGATTAGGAACAGTCAGCATGGATTCACTGGGGGCAAGATAGGTTTGACCAACCTGATTGTCTTCTATGATGAGGTGACTGGCTCTGTGGATGCAGGGAGACTGATGGATGTGGTATACCTTGATTTTAGCAAGGCTTTTGATATGGTCTCCCACAGCATTCTCACAGGCAAGCTAAGGAAGTATGGGCTGGATGAATGGACTGTAAGATGGATAGAAAACTGTCTGGAGCATCGGGCTCAGAGAGTAGTAATCAATAGCTCAATGTCTAGTTGGCAGCCGGTATAAAGTGGAATGCCCCACGGGTGGGTTCTGGGGCTGGTTTTGTTCAATGTCTTCATCAACAACTTGGAAGATGGCATAGAGAGCACCCTCAGCAAGTTTACAGATGACACCAAGCTGCAGGGAGTAGCAGATATGAAGCAGGGTAGGGCTAGGATTCAGAGTGACCTAAACAAATTGGAGAATTGGTACAAAAGAAATCTCATGATGTTCAACAAGGAAAAGTGCAAAGTCCTGCACTTAGGATGGAACAATCCCATGCACCAGTAAAGGCTGGAGGTTGACTGGCTGGGCAGCAGCTCTGCAGAAAAGGACATGGGGGTTACAGTGGACAATAAGCTGAATATGAGCTAGCAGTGTGCCCTTGTTGCCAAGAAGGCTAACAGCATACTGGGCTCCATTGCTAGGTTTGTTCCCAGTAGGTGAAGGGAAATGATTATTCCCCTTTATTCAGTGCTGGTGAGGTCTCATCTGGAGTACTGTGTTCAGTTTTGAGCCCCCCCACTACAGAAAGGATGTGGACAAATTGCAGAGTCCAGCAGAAGATGACAAAAAATAGTGAGGGGGCTGGGGGACATGACTTATGAGGAAAGACTGTGGGAATTAGGTTTATTTAGTCTAGAGAAGAAAAGACTGAGACTGGACTTAATAGCAGCCTTCAACTACCTAAAGTATGTGTGTGTGTGTTGGGGGGTGGTGTTCAAAAGAGGATGATGCTAGACTTTTCTCAGTGGTGGCAGATGGCAAAACAAGGCATAAGAGTCTCAGGTTGCAGCAAGGGAGGTTTATGTTAGATATTAGGAAGAATTTTCTCAATAGGAGGGTGGTAGAACATTGGAACTGGTTACTCAGAGAGGTGGTGGAAGCTCCATCCTTGGAGGTCTTCAAAACCTGGCTAGATAAAACTTTGGCTAGGGTGATATAGTTGTGGATGGTCCTGCTTTGAGCAGGGGGTTGGACTAGGTGACCTCCTGAGGTCCCTTCCAACCCAACTTTGTACGCTTCTATGAAAGTTCCACCATATATGACTACATAGTAGAAGTATTTGGGAATTTCCTATCGAGGTTTTTTTTTTTGCCTGAAAATGTCATTTCCTAACAAAATGAATTTTCCATGGAAAATGTTCAGTTTTGCTGACATTAATTGATAGTTATTTATTGAAAAAAACCCAAAATATTTTGCTTTGGGTTGACCTGGCTTAGATCAAAATATTTCTGTTTGTTGAATCGGCCCTAGTTAGTTATGAAACAAGTCAGCATAAACTGCCTCTGTTCTGTCCTGTAGGCCAAACTACTTAAGTGGTCAACACCTCCCACAACACTTCCCATACAAAACGGTCTATTCTCTGACCAACAATGTGGTGCATTATGGAAGTTGCATAACTTCTGGGGAATAAAGGGAGATGTGGTATAATCAGGGAGTTTGGCCAGTAGGAGATGTGGACATTAGGGAACCCAGACTAGAACTCCCATGATGGATGTGTCATTAAATGCAGTTTAATGTCGATCATACTTAAGGTAGGCATTTCAGGTCAGTTCAACAAATCAAAACAAAATGCTTTGCCACAATGATATTTTAACTTTTTTATTCAATTCAGGATTAAAAAAGTTCAAGTATCAGAATTTCCCCTGAGGGAGAGGTTCCTGTTTTTGCTCAGCTTTATTCTGTAGGCCTCTATTCAATATGTTAATATCAGTTTCTGCTCCATCCACTGTGAAAATCATTGAATGGGTCAAACTGGAAGAAGCCATCAAGGGCAACAGGGGCAGGGAAATCTATAGCCATGCCAAGAGCAGAGCATATAGATATGGCCAGGGATAAGTAGAGTTGCAGCCATCATTGACCAAGGATATCTACCACTGGCAGTGTGTGTTGTAGGCAGAAACTTTAATGTACATCTATTTGTCAAACTTCCAAGACAAATAAATAAGGGAGGGTGAAAGAACAGGAGAGATTATAATTAAGCAGTAAATGGGGATTAGATTCAATAAAAAGTCCATTTGGCTAACATACTACGGAAGCCTTCACCAACCCAGACAAATTGATTTTTCTGTGGCTTTTGCGGACTTCTGTGGCAGGAAGCTGAATAGATTTTTTTTATTGAATTCATCCTTGAGATGCTCCATACAGTTCAGTAGTTCTGATTAATGCATGCCTTGTGTGCAGTTTGGCACAAGGGGTTCCCAGTACATCATAAGCACATCCACAGTACATAATATTGTAAATGCAATGCCTGTAAATTGTGTTTATGTTTCTGGCTTGTTTTCTATAATTTTCCCAGGCATTTTTGTTAATTTTAAAACCTGTTTACTAGGGATCTTTACTCAAAATGGAACAATAAGCCTGTAGCCTTCTAAATCTGAAGAAGTGTGAAACAACTTACATTTTGAGTCAGTACCCTTTGTTACAGTACCCTTTGTCTAATGGACCAACATAACTGTAGAACTGGACAACCCCCAACCTTGTGAAAGTTCTGAAGTAGATCTAGCCCCTTCTTCAGTTTTCTTTCTTTTTTTTTAAGACAAATTTTCTCCTCCAATACCTCTGGCCATAATATGATGTTTCAAAATCCATCCTCATCCCAGCAAGTTGTCATTACATAGGCCATTATATCATCTCATATACGAATAATACAGACAAGGAAGAATGGAAACATAGGCTTGAGTCAAAAGATCACTGTAATCCTACTATACAGAATCAGTAGTTAACAAGACAGCGTCAGTACAGACCTTCACATACCTGGAAAAGCAGGTGCTGCGGCAGGTGCCTCTGTGCCTTCGATGGGAATGCCCAAGGTCTGAAGGGTATATTCTGCTGCATATGTCTTGGCCTCATCAATATATGCATTGAGCTTGGGAGGTGTGAAGGGATGTCTGTGAATCAGATACAAAACATTAGTTGCTTTTACTGTTGTATGCTTAACTGCTTGACTGTCCATATCTCTTGATCCAGTAGGAACGCATGGTACATTAAGAATTCAAACAAACAAAATATTTGGAAAAAAATCACAAAAAGAAAAACAATTAGTTAAATATATAGACTTTTACATATGGGCTATCCGCTTGAGGTTTACTGTTCATGCTGAAAAGGTTTCCTGCTTATTTTATTAACTCACCCTAACTGGAGAGACCAGCTTTAAATAGATAATGGACATTTGCCAAATATCTCTCATTAATACTTCTGGATTACTTGATGTGGTGTAATCCTGTGAAGCAGACCTAAACTATCATTAATTTCTATTGCTATTATCATTAGCAATAGGAATGTACAGTACTTGATTCCTAATTGTTATAACTATGGAGGGTGGGGTGGTAACACCACCCCTATTTTGAACTTTGGCTCATATGTCTCATAATAAGTCTCATTTTAGTTATTTACAACTTTGCCAAAATTGAATGATTTGCATCCTAATTTTCCTTGAGGAGTGTCTGCCTCTGACTGATTTTTATTTATTCTATTTTTATTTCAGCCAAAACTATTCAGTTTCTAATAATGGTGTGAGAGAAAATAGATTAAAAGATATCCCTTTTAAAAATAGCAATGACCATTTTGAGGCATTTTAGTCTCTATGTGCAGAGAGGTTGCTTTTTACCATTTAGTTACAATCCACTGACACTTTTAAGTCGCTGAAAAATAAACTTTGCACATATTCAAGTTCATGTTCCAACCAAAGTCTGAGCAGGAATTTTCTTGCAATTGCAGTCCTGGGTTTCTGTGGGCTGTGTTGGTCCTAAACACCAGAAGTAGGAGCAGGGAGGCTATCTTTCAAGTGCCCTCAATATTTTCTCTGGGCTTTTAGGCAGTGCAACCTGTCTGATTCAAACACAGAGGGAACAAATGACAAGCAGGGGGAACTGACTGGAATAAAAAAAACTACTAATTACAGAAAAATAGTCTATGTTAAAAGAGCACTAAAGCTAACAAAGTCAAGAGCTCAGTCTTAGGAAATGTCAGAGTTACAGCTGCTCAAGTGCAATGAAGTCTTCTTGTGTGTATGCATTGTGATCCAACTATTAATTGTACAGTGTCATAGCCTGACTTTTCTCTGGCATGCACCCTCCTTAGTACCAGTGTTTTCAGTGTTCCCATTGTAAGCTTCATCTCAGGATACTTTGCAGATTTTTCAGATTAATTAGATTATTATTCTTGTTTTATTTTATGGCTCCTGCAAAATCACTTAAATACTTGCACACAATTACTAAGCATCTAACTCCAGGATTGATATTCGAAAAGACCATTAACATTTTCTTTTAACCAGAGAAAACATAGTGCTGAGCATTGATCACCCATCTTTTTTCCTTTATCTCCTCTTGCTTTTTTCCTTTCAGGACCAATCAATTCTTCCCCTCAACCTCCAGTGTTCCAAATGAGTAGTTCTGGGGAGGAAGGACCAGGATCTATCCAGGGCTAGGGACAGACATTACACATAAACCAGTTTAAATAATCAGAAACTGGTTTAACCTGTAACAGAACAGATGTTCAGTGCACATAAACCAGTTTGAGATAAACCTGGCTGAATGTAGTATCAGACTTAACTGATTTGGCTTAAACTGGTTTATGCAATGTCTGTCCCAGATTCTTTGCTGGTTTAAACTAAACCAGACACCCCCAGCATCCCAGCATGCTCTCTGAGCTGGGCAGGGCTCTCTGCTCCACAGCAGGGCTGGTCCCTTCCCTCTGCTTCCTGGTGGGAGCTTGGCAGAGACTTGCAGGCACAGCAGGGTTGCTGGCTTCCCCATGCCCTGCATCCCACCTCTCACCACTCGCTGCTTAAGCAGAGATCCCTTCCTCATCTCTCTCACAGCACAGACTGTAGCCAGCATGCGGTATGCTAGCTAATGCTGTGTAAGGTGGATAGGACAGTGTCTGCTTAGGGCTTTTGGGAGGTAATCAACAGCTCAGATGGTAATGGCCCTGCATTCCTTCCTTTGGAAAAAGCTGTTTAAGAAGAGCTTGTAATGAGCGAGACTTTGTTTTCTGATGGGCTGTTAAATGCTGATGGGGGAGGGGTCCCTAATCATAGTGTCCTGCCTGGGCCTGGCCACACACCCCTCAGCTCAGTCCTGTGGAAGGACTTCTAGCCTGAGTCACTGAAGGCATGTGCCTGCATTTCTGGAATGAGAAGGGAATGTCTATCCACCTTCAAATCAATTCAAGCTTTGCAGGTTAGACTAACCTTCAAAGATTGAATCAATTCAGGCTCAGTGTTTTTGAATATCTGTCCCTAGCCCAGAAGAATAAGCCTCTGACTTCCTGTCTACTTAGCAGCAAATGATCATGTCTCATTCGGTAACTTTCTCCAACATACAATTCACCTAACTACTTTTAAAAATTTCAAAATCTCATAGCATCCATTACAAATTAGTTGAGCATGTTCTTCATATGATCACCTACTATATATTCAGAAGACTGTAGACTCATTCAGTGTATAGGATGAATGGTGCTCCCTACAGTAGCAGCTATTAAATATTTTATTTTATCATTATTGGTTGATATGTGTTTATGCTTTATTCAATTAACACTATTTAAACCCTATTCTGAAGACAAAGTGATTAATTTTCTATAGTCTTCACTAATACGTTTGTTGGGTATGTCACAAATATAAATGATCTCTACAACAATATGGTAAAGTAATGGGGTGTTCTTGTCTCTCTTTTACAGATGGGAACTGAATCACACACAATTAAGATTAAAAGCGCTAGCTAATTTTGAGGCTCTTTGCACCTTACAGTGTTCCAGTTTGTTTGTTCATTTTATCAGAATCAAACCATGTTTTTAATACAACATTCTTTCAAATCGTTCAGTCACAGATTAGCATACCCAAAATTGCATTTTTAGGCCAGGGGGAAACATATCAGAGTTTGGACTATTCAGTGAGGTGCTTAGACAATAATATTCTAGAATGATAAAATGGTGCATTATAGTGAGTAGGATCCAAATGCAGATGAGGGGATGTGCACTGGTGCAGTCACACTCCCCTTTGATTCCTGGTTCCCTCAGAGTTTAAAACCAACTTCCTGGCAGGATTCAGGCAACAGTGAGGGAGTCAATTGACTTCATGACTCATTATAATCTACTTCATTCCTTCTAAATTTTTCATTCCACAGATGTTAATTACCTTTTCTTTTTGAATGGTCCTGATATTCCACTAATCCAAGCTATCCTTTCTTCTGCAATTCTACTGTCCGTTAACTGCTCTTGGTAATGTAGTTTCTATTTCATAGCCCTGCAGGCTCTTTTCAACTTCAGCTAAAAACATTAACTCAAGTGTGGAAATGTTAACTCAAGTGAACATTAACTCAGGTTTGGAAATAACTTGCAGTGAAACAATGGATGCACTGTCAAGATGCTGAAGAAGACCAGATTTTTTTCTATGAACCTAAAAAGGAGATCAACATTTAAGTCTAATCACTACAGAATCAAAAACTTTGAATTATGTTTGCTTAGTTTGCTGTGTTTTACGCAAAATATAGCAGATTAATGCACATGCCAATAAAGTTATAATTCTTTTTGTTTCGAATTTAAACTGAGTAATTGAGCCCTCAGCTCCTAACATATTAGTGAAACTTCCAGTTTCTTTTTAACTGGAGAAAAATATGTTGTGTTACGTATGATTATGCTGTCCAGTATTTGCACCCCTCCTTTTCAAAATCCTAGATCTGCCTATGGTAGGATCTATCTTCATATTTTGATCCAAAATCTGGTGACATTCCAACAAATTGTTTTTTTCTTCCTAAAGTTTCTGAAGAAGAAATTGTTATGAGCATATTAGAGATTTAAAGAAAGGCTATGTGGGCTTCATGCAGTTTTTACTTGAGCAGAGACAGTATAGGTAATGGTTGGTATTTGTATTTATCCCTTTTAGTCTGTAGGATTTTATTCTGCTTTCCAGAATTTGAAATGACTATAGAAACCAACCTGTATAGTTGCTTTTGAGTAATGATGCTAAATACATTGATTTAAAAATCCCATTAAAAAGCACAGAAAATGATATAGTTACATACATAGTAGGTTGCTGGCTGGCAAGGGCAGGTATAGTGACTTTATACAAGAACAGTTGTCTTTGATCTTGGCCAATCGCAGAATGAAGCTGGTAAACAGGCTGTCCCCAGTTATTTTTCTGGCAGATTTCTTCTAAGATCTATAAAAGAAAAAAGATTTACTACAGTTAGAGCCACACTTTAATGGTCTGGCCCATCTCCAGGCTCATCCACTGCAAAGGTCCATTACTTTCCATGAGTTTTCATCTGTAGATGGCATGCTTCTTCTTGAATATAATGTAAGAAGAAATAGAAGCTCTGGTGGTTTAATAGGTTGTGAACTCTAAAATTAATAGAAACGTGAAATTTTCAAACACCGCTTAATTCATAAAGATAATTGTCACATGGCTACATCTGATTCATTTCAATTTAGTCCATTAACTGTTTTACTTTGATGTAGCACTGGATAATTTCCTTTGAATTCTAATTTAGTAATTCTACTTGTGCATTCCAGAGTTCTGCACTTTTAACTCCTGTTAAAGCATTGCAACTTTATTAATCCCCCATTGGATGAAATGGATAAAAAGCAGTGGGATAGTTTATGTCCAACCAGGACTAGAACATGGAGCTCTTTTCCTTCCAGGCTAGTATCTAGTTATACAACCTACCCTCCCTGTAGCTTGCTCTCCTTTTCCTGCCCTAGAGTCATTTACATTTTGAAAGGTTTGGCCTGTACCAGACTATTGTCCCTTAGAGTAATTTATGCTCATCCCTAAATTTGTCCCTGTACTTTCCTATGGAAGCAACTTTATCAGAAAAAGTTTAATTTTAAATAACTGTCAATATCAGTTACATTTAAGGATGTCCCTTGTGAGTTCTCACAATCTTTAAAGGTCCTTTGGCTTTAACTACCAACATTCAGACTTTGGCACAGGAATACTTGCATCCCAGGAGAATCACAAATTCATGTCAATTGTTTGAGAGACAGAGAAGCTTTCTGTTATGTTTTAGATGTTTTATGCGTTGCACTATACCAGAATTTGGCTAAATCTGGCCTGCAGAACTAGAAGGTTTTGCCTCTGTCTTTGCTGGGGCTCGGCAGCTGGCATTGCTGCCATTTTTCCTCACTCCCTGCTCCCTAGCTGCAACATGGGCATGACCTCCAACCAGTGGGGAACTGAGTTGGGGTGGGGCAGCTTCCAGCTGTGTCTGTGCTGCAGCCAGGTGGGTTGTTAGGGGAGAGGCAGCTGCAGTGCAGATACAACTTCCAGATGCCCAGCCTTGGTGCAGCTCCCCACTGGCTGGAAGTTACTCCCATGTTGCAGTTAGGGGGGAAGCTGGGCAGAAGCAGTGGAAGCAGTGTGGAAGCAGTTCCCAGCTGCCCAGCTCTGGTGCAGCTCCCCTCCAGCTGCAATCTGTGCTGGTGCCCCAGCTGGGAAAAGGAGGTGCCAGCACTGGCACAGCTCCCAGCTGCCTGGTCTCAGCAAGGGTGCAGGGAAACACCTTCACTGCTGACGCATTGCTGAAGTCATCCAGCCCACACCAGAACGGAGCTGGATTGTTCTGCTCTGCAACTTAAAAAGACTGCCAGCCCCTGTACTATACAATTATTGTGCTAACTCACCATCTTCTTTTACAATGAGAAATAGCACACTGAAACCTCACAAGCAACATTTGTGAGAACACCTACAGCACCCAGGAGGTGCTGGTACATTGCTTGGTGTACACCAGTTTTTCTCTTTGTGGTATGGGAGAGACTACCTCTGGACTCAGCGATAGAGTGAATAAGGGTGATGTACTCTAACCAGACACTATAGTTCATGAAAGAGAGTGGGAACAAAAGAAAGCCAGCAGCGCATGGTTATTTTTAGCAGCTTGTGTAGCTTTTTAGCATTTTGTGTAGATGTGCCCACAGACAAGTATTAAACTGGATCAGGTACAAAGCAGGGTAACTTATATGATTAGGAGAACAGCGAACCTATTTTATAAGAGAAGATTAAAAGAGTTTTTTGCAAAACAAATGTTGAGAGTGGTTTTGCTTTGTATAAACCTCTTTGGTGAGCGAATATCAGGGAGGGAGGAAGTTATTTAAATTAAAGAACAATATCAGCATAAATAAGATGACCACATGGGACAATGCGAAATCCGGGACACTGCCCACACCCTCGGATGGCTTCAGGAAGTCAATGGCCTGTTAATGACCCATTGTTCTTTCTTTCACCAGGTGTTAACAATCACCTGTGAAGTAAGGATTAATGTTAATGAGCAATTTTGCTGTCTGCTGAGCTTCCTATTTCACAGCTGCTGCTGCTCTGCCTCTGAGCCTCATGCCCTGTGGCCGGGATGTTCGTTTTCATTTTCACTGGCTGGCTGGGGCTGAAATCTGGGACTGTTCCAGCCAGTCCAGGACATATGGTCACCTCAGACATAAGATCAAATGGCTAAAGACTGACCATGAACAAATTTAGACTGGAAATTAGGAGGAGGAATGAAGGTCTAGAATGGTCTTTCAAGCAAACTTGTGAGAGCAAGGAATCTGAATTGTTTTAAGATGGAGCTTGATAACTCTATGGAAGGACTAGTATGATGGGATAGGGTGTTCATGGAGCAATAAATAGTGCATATATGGATATAAACATAACTCATAATCTTCATTTTTGTGTGTCAGATGCCTTTTAATCCTAGGGGTTGGGGCTTCTCTTTGTCACCTGAAGATGCCAGGAAGAATTTTATTTATTCAAAAATGCTTTATTT